CATCCCTCTCGGCTAGGGTCTTCTTGCTTCCGGAAGCATAGGGGGTTTGGACCAATCAGAGCGGCGCATTTGGGCTCAGCCACCGACCCTTGCGCCGCCATGCCACAAATGCCACTCCTAAGTTGTGGTTCGGGTTATTATGGCGGGGTGCAATTTTGCAAGGGACATGCAGGATGATGATCTCGTGGTCATTAAAGTGCTCTAAACCGATTTCAAGGAAAACATCAAGGAGCTCGATATGATTGACTATGTAGAGAGCAAAGAGCACGAGTCCTCTAATCACATGCATCTGGCTGCTTCATTTCCAGAGCGGCTGGGATCTCCTGGCTACAGTCCGTAATAAATTACGTCCCACGATTCTCGGCCAGCATGGTCAAGACGCGGAACTGTTACCCGAGTTGGAAGAGGATATGCTCGATACAACGGTGGGGCATGAAGATACCGATGCACGCATCCAATATACACGCTTAATGCAATCTGGCACGGAATGTGGAGAGAATGTCCAATTTCATTGTCGTCAACAGCGATCAATCGTAGCATCTGTCATCAACTCTGATCGGCATCAACATCATAATCCAACGGAGTAGATGTGGATATCTGTGCAAACTGGATCCGTTGCGAGCAGGCCAGTTTGCGGGCACAGTCAGGGTAAGCACTGCGTTGATCTGTCTGTGGACCTAACTGACATGCCCGAAACAACTAGGATTACGGAGGAGTGTTAGTTACTGGCTGGGGAAGTCGGGATGAATGAAGAAATAGCGGAAGGGAATGGGAAAGGAGGAAGGACGCAGGCCAAGCGTATAGTTTTCGGGTGTGGAGGCACTCGCGTTGATGTTGAGAATGGGGAAAGGAGGACAGTGATGCAGAGGAGGTGAAAGCCCAAGTTGACTGTGAGCTCGCCGAGCACACTAGCGATTGTCGTCACCTACAGGAGATAATCAGCAGATCTTTACTATAATGTTGATCGCCATTCGTGGCTCGCACTAGCACGTAAGATGCCGTCCCCCGGTGGTCATTTTGCTAAGCTCGAACCTGGTGTTTGCGACCAAAGGGCCTCGTACAATCGAGAGGCACGGTATCGACACCTGGGCGGTTATGTATGAACGGAACTGATCTTCCTTATTAGCCAAACACTCCTCCCCAGCCGGAACTACAGGGCACCTAATGAATTACCGTACGCCAGAACGTGTGCCCTCGGTAACCCATAGTCGTTCCTATCCCGCTGTGTCTCCGCCTCCAACAGATAAAGTGTTTCACGTATCACTACGCGCGGGGAAGACTTGTCAGTTGTCGCGTGCCTAGCGTGTGCTCTTCCCCCCTCTTCGCTCACATGGGCTAGTTGAAGGTAGACTACGCTCGGATATCGGCAAATGATGTTGAATGGTGGGGCTGACGGGATGGGTAAGTCTAAGTGCGGCAGATCCGGAGGGTGGGAAGGAGCGAAGAGAGAGATGGGAAGAGGCCGGATGCACGAGCGAACAACTGAATGCTGATAATGACGTAAGGATAATGACCAGCGAATGACGTTGTCGGGATCGGCACACGTGCGCCCGATATAGGGTTGTATAAATAGAGTACCCGCATGGCTGTAAATGTCCGAAACATTCGTCTTTTTCCTCTGTCTTTCTTTCTTTTCCAAACAGACGCATGCACCGCCCGCAAGGCCATCATCCTCGACCGTGCGCTCTCAAGGGGTCATTTGTACAACACACCCTTGAGAATCGGACGACTAAAAGAAGTCCGGTAACAAACTCGATGTATTTACCGGGTGGAGTGAGTGCGAAAGTTAACAAATAAATTTTATTAAAGGCGATACAGTCCAGATTTTCATTGTTCCAACATCCCGCTCCACCAGTTTGACATGAAAACGAATGAATATCGCCAATGTACCACCCGGTTCTGTTCATAGCCGCCATTCAACATTCGGTTCTCGTCCCTAACAACGTGCTCCAGCCAACATGTGTTTCGACCCATCATGTCGCCGGAGCAGGCGAGAAGTACCGGGAGATCCTCGAGGGTCCTGACGCGCTCTCCGGGGAACAAGGACTGATCAGACCAGAAGGGGAGGGGGCGGAAAGTACTTAAATACCTGCTCCATGCGGTCAACTTCTCCGTGGTTCGCTACCCGCAACTCCATCGCTCTTGCTCGCGCGTTCACCAATTGCCAGCAGCGTCCAGTCACGTCCTTATCTGGTCTCTCCTCTGGCACTTTAACGACCCCTGTCATTTTCTAGGATAACTCACACGACATCAACCTCGCTACACGTCGAAGACATGGATATCGGAGAGCCCAAGGCTGTCAAGGCCGAAGTGGTCAAGGGCATGTCCCAGGTGTCCCTCATCTTCGCCTGCGGTACGGCTCTCTTCTCAGACGGCTATGCCAACGGTGTCGTCGGTGCCGTGAACTTGCGTGCGTCTATCCTTCGCCTCATCCTATCATCGCAATGACGATTTCCTAGTCCTCATGACCGTCTACCCCGACTACTTCAACCTCACCAACTCCAACTTCACCAAGGTCCTCAACTCGCTTATCTTTGCTGGCACCGTCTTGGGCATGCTAACCTTTGGTATCATCAGTGACAAGGTTCGCC